TTATCCATGACTGAACTAAAATATCAATTAAAAAATCATTTTCTTACAACTTTATGAAGAATTCAAATTCTATATAAATCTATTTTTTGAACTTCCATAGAAATAAATTTGAAATTTAGCTCTTCGAGCTTGAGGTAGATTGTTTGCTATAGTTTCTAAGAGGATTAAAACTTGGGATTTTAATTTGAAACTTTCTAAATTCAAAACATTTAAAAATGATGGCATGAGATTTAACGATCAAGAAGAAGACTTCTCCTAATTATCTTGTTTATAAAAGGCATATTTTCAATTTTGAAGCATTAACGAGGACTTGATTCTATACTGATTCATATGTGATTCAAGAAAATTAGACAATTTTCTTCAAGATGAAACAAATGTATTTTATTTGTCTCTTTACCCCTCCAAATTGAAAATTGAAAACGAAATTCCATTATCACTCTTTGGTCTATTTACTATTAACAACAACATTTCGCTTCATTTCAAAACCCATAATTCTTGATCTTTCCCTCTTTTTATGAAAATGTAAAAAATGAGATAGTTTGTCGCGAGCATGTTTTACATGATGCTCCTATTAAAATAATTTTTTTTAACTCACACACTTAAGCTTTCTAATAGAATTAGTCCGTTAGAATTTAAATCCATGACTTCTTCTTACAGGTAAACCATTATCACCTGGATTGCAAGCTCTTTGGTGCCGGTGTCTTCTTTGGATAACTAAAAAGAAAAAAAATTCCTGTAATTTATATTTTCAATTACGAGTTCGATTATTTGTTACGATCCAATTGAATCCATCCGAGTTCATTGTCCAAGTCCAATCCATCCCGTCCATTGCCTATAGATCCACAACAAGGACCAAGTCATCCAAGTAATTGTTAGTTCCAATAAAATCTCTAGTTGTTAGTTTCTAATAAAATCTCTACGAGTCGTTAGTATTTCGATCGAATAGGAAGGCTAAATCATCTTAATAAGTTATTAGGATTTGATTTTTCATTTTTGTTCAATGTTATCATTGTAATAACTCCATATAAAGAGCATTTAAATTCAATAACGAGCATGAACTCTTTTGTAAAATAATTTCTATTATATCTAGTTTGTATTATCTACTCTCTCTAAATAGCTCAGCTGTAAAAACAAGACACATGGTCACAGAGCATAAACCTTAGAGGCCTTAAGAGATCCGGGAACATAACAATTTGACATTAGAGGCTAATTCCATAGCGGATGAGCCAAACAACTAGTGATTCCTGCGACTAGAGCACTCGATCGAAGTGTTAACGGATAAATGACGGAGATGCTTCAAACCTTTCGGACTAGCGAGGAGACTTCTACAAGTCATCAAGGTTCACTATGATGCCATACTAATAAGGATAGGTGTACTGATAATTTTTCTCCTAAACTAGTGAAATTAGACTTTCCACATATAATGGATCAAGTGATCCCACACTTTGGATCGATCGGGTGGATAATTTTTTGATTTTTAGAATATTGCCATAGACAAGTATGTATGCTTACATGCTTGTCGATTTATCATCTAGAAAAAGATGCTCAATTATAGGTCCAATGCTAAAAGAATTTATAGATTGGGACTCATATGACGCAAGTTGAAAGAAAGGCTTGCTAAACGACTTAATAAGGCCAATTATGATAATTGTTTTGTTGACTTGTGTAAACTCGAGCAAATAAGAATGGTTCATAAATACCAATCAGAATTTGATAGGCTACTAGCTCAAGCAAGAACCATGTTTGACAACTAGGAGATGAGAGCCTTTAGTAATAGGTTAAAGGAATAGTTACGTGTTGATGTGCGAGCTTAAAGGCCATCAAATCTCAATGAGGTAAATTGGGTTGGCTCGCATTTTGAGAGCGGATCCAATGGACTCTAGGAACCATAGGTTGGACGGATAGGCCAAAAGCCTTTTGAGCCAAAACCCATTGAATTTAGCCGAAGAGCGAGCGCATTATGGAATAAATCCGGAGGCTTCATTAACACACCTCTTTCTTTCATCTCGTCTCTTCTAGTTCGTCGTTTCATGCCCATGGAGTTACAACAATAACGTATTCGGGGGCTATACTTCCATTATGATGAATAGTACACGACAAGTCATGTTTGTAAGAAATTATTTTTCATCAATCTAGAGTATAAACCGAAAGAAAATTTCGAGCTTCCTTTTACTAATTTTACTACTGTTGAGGCTAAACCTCTAGAAATTTCTCTCCCCACACTCATCAATGTTCTCACTCCTCAAACTATGAGAGTTTGTGCTAAGCTAGGGGAAAAATCATCACAATCCTCATTGATTTGAGATCAATACATAATTTTTTACACAAATGGATTACAAAGGCTACTAACCTTCCAATTGAGTCAATACCCTCCGTGAAGGTGATGGTTGCAGTAAGAAAAAGCTAGATAGTGTGGGAATATGTAGATAGATACCTTTTTTTTTTTTGCTTAATTCTATGTTCCATATTGATTTTTTGCTTCTACCTTTGAAAGGATGTGATGCTCGTGCTTGGAGCACAATGGCTCCGGACTTTGGGACCAATTCTCTAGAACTTTAGTAGTATGGAGATGAAGTTAATAACCGGGGACATAGAGATTACATTGAAAGGAATCTAGGCAATTAGGGCTAAATTAGCGTAGGAAAAGACACTAAACGGAGCACTATAGAAGACCCAATAAAGGAGGCTTTGTTGCAGATATCTTTGGTTCCTAATCAACAAGTCACAGAGTTAGAGAAATGGTAGAAAGTCCAATAAGAGTTTTTTAATGTTTTGCACGGGATGGGTAGCCTACCTCGAGGCAAAGTCATGGCCGTAACATTCAAACGGAGGAAGGTATTAATCTAGTAAATGTGAAGCCATTTAGATACCTTCATTTTTAGAAGCGAGAAAATAGAGAAACTCGTAGCCGAGATGCTCTCCCAAGGTCCGATTCACCCCGGTAAAAGTCCTTTTTCTTCTCCAAGACTCGCTGGTCAAAAAGAGAGATGGCTCTTGGCAGTTTTATGTATATTACAAGGCATTGCATAAGATCACCATTAAAGATAAATTCTCGATACCTATGATTGAGGAATTTTTAGATGAGTTGACAAAAGAAAAATGATTCACTAAATTAGACCTTCATTTAGGTTACCACCGGATAAGGATACACCCTACGGATATTGCAAAAGCTACTTTTCGCACCTATCACGGCCTCTATGAGTTCATGATAATGCTCTTTGGCCTCTCAAATGCTCCTTCCACATTTCAAGCTCTTATGAATGAGATATTCCAACTATATTCAAATAAGTCTCGTATTGGTCCATTTTGATGATATTTTAATTTACAATAAGAATATAGAATAGCATTTATATCATGTAGGGAAGGTTTTTTCGATTCCAAAGGATAATCAACTTGTTGTAAAAAAGGAAAAAATTTAGTTCGCTCAACGAACAAGTTCATTATCTAAGGCATATCATTAATAGTGAATGAGTAATGGCCGATTTGAACAAAATCGAGCCATGACTAGTTGGCCAAAATCGCGGACCATTAAGGAGCTACGAGGTTTGACATGATATTATTGGTGTTTTATAGCAATATATGGGGTAATTGCTCGACCACTAATAACCTTGCTAAAGAAAAATGCTTTTTCTTAGAGCAACAAACCCGACGAGTGCATTTCAGCAGCTTCAAAACGACAATGACCTAAGCACCCGTTCTAGCCTTACCTAATTCCTCTCTTCTATTTTATTGTGGAATGTGATGCCTCGGAAGTGGGGATTGAAGTCGTCTTTATTCAAATTCAACTTCCCATCGCTTACTTTAGTGTTAGCCTCTAAGGTAAAAACTCGTCCCTTTTCAATTATGAAAATGAACTAATGGACTAACGAAGTCTCAAATATTTGTTCAAGCAAATAATTATAATCAAGGCTCAACAACGATAATTGGTCAAATTATTGGGATATGATTTTTGTATTGAATATAAGTAGGGTCAAACAAATGCTGCTTGCAGAGGCTTTTTCTAAGAGAGGACATGGGGAACTTCGGGCTTTATCCACTCTAAGTGCCATAATGGCTTACTCCCATACTAGAGAGAAATGACAAACATCCGAAACTTAAGGGATTATATAAACTAGTGTAGCAAAGAGAGGTTGTGGGGCTATGACGGGTTTGGTAAGGTACCACAAAACTCTACACATACTCAAATGCACTTTTTACTAGAAAAAGATAAAAGAAGGACTCCGTCGAGTATATCCGAGAGTGTGATTTTTATCAACACCATAAAATTGATTTGTAAAAACCTACGGGGTTACTACAATCACTACCGAGTACCCCATCAAGTGTGGTTATAAATTACTATGGATTTCATTGATGGCCTCCCACTCTCGGAGGTAAAAATTTTCTATATGTTATAGTTGATAGGTTTTCAAAATATGTTCATTTCATCCCTATCTCTCATCCTTACATTGCTACCAATGGGGCTCGAGTGTTCTTTAATAATATTTTTAAACTCACGGCATGTCTTTATCTATTGTTTGTGGTTATGATCCTGCCTTTATAAGTATTTTTTGAAAGGAATTTTTCAACCCGTAAGGAACAAGCTTTAATTTTAGTTATGCTTACCACCCTCGGACATACGATCGGATCGAGGTAGTAAATAAGACTACCGAGATGTACTTTTGTTGTTTCACCAATTCCGGACCAAAAGAGTGGACCAAGTGGGTGCTTGGGTTGAATATTGCTATAACACCGGTCTCTACTATGCCACTTAACTCACCCATTTTCGAAGTAGTATATGATCGCTCTCCATCAACATTCCCCTCTTATGTCCCCGGTATGACCAAGGTCCAAATTGTGGAGGATTCGTTGCTTCAATGAGATATGGCTCCGAAGGAGCTTCATTTTTATCTTTTTGAGGCACAAAATAGAATGAAGCAGTGTCTATGATCGACACCATATGGATAGAGAATTTCAACAAGATAATTGGGTTTATTTGAAGTTATAGCCATATAGACGATCTATTATTGTGACTCGTTCTTCTTGAAAGTTGAGAGCTCGGTTTTTGGGCCTTTTAAGGCGATGGCACGAATTGAGGCGATAGCATATAAATTAGATTTACAACGCTCTAAGTGAGATTCGTCCCGTTTTTTACATGTCAATCTTGAAAAAAAAAACAGGAAAGGCTAGATCAAACCTCGACCCAAATGCCAAACTATTACACAATATATGATGTTTCCACAAAAGCCACAGCGACGAATCCCGAGGGTAAGAGGACGAGGTAAAAATCAGGAGTTTCTAGTGCCGTGGTTCAACACCACTATTTCGAAGTTAAATGGGTAACCTTGGAAAAATTCTTGCAAGATTTTCCTAATTTCCTTACTCCTTGTGGGCAAGGAGAGTCTTAAGGGGAGGAGCTATCACGGTCCAACCCAATCCATCCAAGCCATTGTCCGGGTTCAATCCATCTAAGCCATTGCTTATAGATCCATAAGCAAGGACCAAGTCATCCAAGTAACTCGCTAGTTTTATTAAAATTTATAGAAGTTAGTTTCCAATAAAATCTCTACAAGCTATTAGTATTTCGAGTTAAATATAGGGAGGTCAAATCATCTTGATAAGTTGTCGGGATTTGATTTTCCGTTTTTGTTCAATGTTACCTTTGTAATTAACTCTATATAAAGAGCATTTGAATTCAATAACATGCATGAACTCATTGGCCAAGTAATTTCTATTATATTTAGTCCGTATTATTTACTCTCTCAAAATAGCTCTTGGTAGAAATAGGATGCGTGGTTGTGGCTTAGACCCTCGAGAGATTCGAAGAGCGTAACATTATCACCGAACTTTCAATCTTCATTCCAAGTGGCTAGTTGAAAATTGTTATGTTCGAACTTTGAACTTACTTTCTAATTGGTTCTATTTCTTTTCATTTTGTTTAATTTAATTTAATTTTACTTGAACACAATAATACATTGCTCCGTATTCTCAACCAACGCATACTAGGGCACACACGAAAAGAAAATGAAGATATAGAATAAATTATAAATTAGTCCTTCTATTTTTTTAAAAAATGAATTGATTATTTTATTTTATTTTAAAAATTAATTATTTAATCTTTAATCAATGTAGATCACGTTTAATTTAATATTAATTTATTAAAAAAAATATTTTTTAATATAATTTTTTGGGTTTTTTCTTATTTTTTATTTTTAAATAAAAAATCAAAGTAAATTGAAAATGATGAAAAAGGATTAAGCTAAAAAAATTAAATAATTAATTTTTAAAAAAGATTAATTAATTCGTTTCTCGAAATTAGAGAAACCGATTTACTTTATATGTTTCAAATAAATTGTCAATCTTTCTATTTATATTTGTTATAAAATACTTGTTTAGTTAAAGTTTTAAATAATGTATATTTTTCAATACCCATAATTGATGAAAAAAATCAATTGTCTCAAAATACTTATATGTTGAAAATTTTAATTAATATATATATTTTTAAAAAATATCTTTGATTGATGAAAAAATCAGTTGTTTTTTCTATTTTTTATCTCTCATCGACAAAAAGAAATCAATATTTTTAGAAATACATATACATTTGACATAAAAATCCAAATTATTTTTTTTAAATATATATTTTTATAGAAATTTTACTGCATGATAAAATTTTGGAGCAAACATTTATGTTACTATGCCATTTTTTTCATAATTATTTTAAATTTAATCGTTAATTAAGTTAATAATTTTTTTATTTATCATCTTAATTTTGGATAGATTTTTTTTTAAAAAATGAATATTAGTTATTAGATTAAATTTGATAAAAAATAATTTTATAAAAAATAATATTTTATAAAAAAATAAATATAAATTTTTATGTGATATAATTATTAATAATTTTTTTACAACTGTTTAAAAAATAAAAAGAAAAATCTTTTTGGTCTGCCCCACCTCTGAATCGTACACTGAAGATGATTTGGTGCGAGTACCCACATTTATTAGTTAGGTACCCCATCTCAATCACCATATCTACACACTCCTACTAATTAGTAATTTTGACCATGTAGTTCTTCACGTGGGATCCGCATGACATCATGCAAAATCAAATCAACTTCAATCTCACACCATCCTCTCCGCCAATTTAAAACTATAAACTACTACTTACCACACCATAACTCACACTTTCCTCTCACACAGGATTATGCTTTTCCAACAAAATTAGCCGTTAATTTCGGATTATATTTCAAAATTCCAGCAAGGTCACAACCAGACTTGAAGTTGACCAGATTATTTGGTTTGACCAGGTTGGGTTCGTTGAGAGAGGTTTTTCTGCATAGACACTACACCTACAGCTGGAAACTGTACCAGGACAAAGAGGGTAAAATTGATGATTAGATTCCATTATTCCTTGTGTTCTCCATTTGCCAGAGCCTCCAAAGTAAAAAAGAAACAGATTGCTGCAGGTGTTAATTAATAAAATAACACAGGTTAAATAAAAATATATGGAGACACCATCTTCTGGGTTCCACACCTACAGTACTCTCTCTCTCACTTCTCTAATCATAGCCACACACCAGGGACTTGGTCCAATAAGCATATAAAAACCAACCATCAAATAAAAAGGCACCTCTTCTCCACGAGTTTTTTTTTTTTAAAAAAAACATCATTGGTATTTTTAAACTCACTGACCAACTATCTATATCATAACTATTGTTTTCATTGTATTTAAAAGAGGGGTAACGAATCCAAGTGCCGAGATAATGCATCTCAAGATAGGATATTTCATAAATTTTAAAATACTCAATACAATATATATATATATATATATATATATATATATATATATATATATATATAATTGCATCTAAATCCATCAAAAATAATAAAAAAAATTCTACTTAATTTTAATTTTTTTATTTTTATTTTTATGTCTATCTCTTTTTTATAGGATAACTTACATTACTTATTTCAAGAGTAATATAGAATCATCAGAAGATTTGGGAGGGTTATTTTTTTTTTGTTATTGTTTATTTATGTTGGCTATTTTCAAAAAATTTTGGCAGCTAACTTTTTATTTTATTTTAAAAAGCTAAAGACAAATTTTAAGAAAGAACTAAATTTATTTTAAAATATAAAAATATAAGCATGAAATTAAAATAGAAAATCATACTTATGGAAAATTTAGCAGTTACCCTTATTAAAATGTTTTTCATTTACACTTCCATAATCCCGTCCTTCATTAAATATTATAATACCATCTTTTGATTTATAAGATCCATATAATCATTGAGGTGATAGTAAAAATAAGTAAGACATTGACAATTTTTTAATTTTTTTTTGACTTCTTAAAATAAATAAATAAAATTTATAAAAAATTAGTCAGCAGTAAATACATAAATAATTAGAAATAATTTTTTGTTAAATTGAAAATTATATTTAACACAAACCGTTCTTTTTTTTAAAAAAAAGTCAAAATTAACATAAAATCGTATTAATTTCGGATAAAAAAAATGAGCGATGTTTTAACATCCAAGTGTCACACTTTTACCATTCAAATGGGAACCACGAGGCTGTTTTTCTAAGAAATCTGGACTATGTTTGTAATGTGATTAAGCCATCTAATTATTTGATGGTTTGAGACTGGGAAGGGGGATTTGGTGGGGCCATGAGAAACCATTTGATTGAGAGTGGTGGTGCTCACGGAGAATGATGGACCTCAAGTGCATAATGAGAATTCTCGAAAGAAATGAAAGGAGGGGTTAGTTGGCACTGAGAAAGATGAGTGTGTAACAGCAAAGAGAGGTCTGTTAGAATAGTTGGCAAATGTGTCGGTAAAAATACAGAAAGTATATGTCAAAGAATCAAGCAAAGCTTGGACTTGAAGAGAAGAACCTCTACCAATCCAGTCTTTTCTCACACATATATATGTACTATTTTTTTTTTAAGAAAAAGAAAAAGTATACTGTGCAGGGTTTTAATAATTTTTAAAGATATAAAAAAAGAAAGAAATTACAAGTAGTAAAGCGATTAGGTTCTGTAATAATTTAGAAGCAAGAGCAGTTGGGCAGTAGTTAGTCTGTCTTTTAAAATCATACATGTAACCTGTTAACTCGAGCAGGTAACCCAAGAGACCCCTCGCTCCCCCCCCCCTCTCTCTCTCTCTCTCTACTTTTTGTATCCAGTCTATCTCTCTCTCTAGCTTCATAGGTCTCTACATTGCCTGTGATCCATTAAAAAGGTTGGAATTTGATGCTTCTTTTAACTGAACTGATCGGAGAAGTGCCCATTTAGTGAATTTTGGTTTTTTCTTGTCTATTTGAGAAAGCATTTGATGCTCTTCAGGTTACTATCAAACCACTGTGAATGTAACCCAGTTCATTTCAGTTCTTGTATAATTCAAGTAGAATTCGATGCTTTTTTGGGCACCCATCTGAGAATATTGCAAAAGGGTGTCTGAAAACGTAACTTTTTCTTCTTGGGGTTGCTTGGTCTTTAATTCAAAACTTGGAACTTGTTGTCATTTCCTTTTAGGACTTTCTCAGGACACCATTTGTCTAATTCCACGTTCATTGCTTCAAGTTTTGTGGTGATCCGCTTGAATTTAGGTCTTAATTGAAGAGATTCAACCGTGATAAGATCAATATATCGGTGCTTAAATGAGTGGAGTAGGTGAAATTTTTTTTGCTTGTCCAACAAAAGCGAAAAAAGGGAATCTGCTTTCCTTTTGATGAGCTGTTTGTTAGCTAATGCCATTGTTTGTCCGTGTCTACTTTATGCTCTGAAAGGTTCACTTTGTTGTCTGTAGGAAGCATTTTCCATTTTTTTCTCTTGCAAATTAGAGAAGACTTGATCGTTGGGGTTTTTCAAATATTGAAGTAGCTGATGCTGATTAGATTTTATGCCTGATACATTGGATTTCTCTTTTTCACTTTGTGTCTATGGGATGCTGCTGCGAGGGGTTTCTTTTACTTTATAGCACCCTCACAGTTTTATAAAGCTGACAAGGTTACTTGTTCCTTGTTGAGTTCTGCAAGATATCACCAGCTAATTTTGGTCAAACTCACCTTGCACTTTAAGTTTATAGTTCCTTCTGTTATATATCTATTTTTAGCACTTGTCTTTGCTGACTGTTGCTTTGGGGTTTCTCCTCAATCACATACATAGGTTATTCTTTAGACTTTGGGGGTTTAGCTTTTGAATCTCAGGACATGGATGGTAGCGGTGATAGCAATGCTAATTTGGGATATCAAAAGAGAGTTGAGAGTGTTATGAATTGTCCCTCTTCGGGAATCAACACAAACCCCTTCTATGTTTCTGCTTGGGATCCAGTTGTTTCACTTAGCCAGCCTGGGAATTTTGGTGGTTCATCAATGTTGTCTCAAAGTGAATTTTCCAATTCTCCTTTCCCAATTGTAATGGAAAACCCAGGAATTAGTAACACCTCGCACCTTATTCGCTACCCATCTGGTTCAGGCTTTGTTGAGCTGGTGCCAAAGTTTCCTGGCTTTGGAAGTGGGAATTTCTCAGAAATGGTCGGCTCTCTTGGCCTGACTGAATGTGGCCAGATTGCTAATGCCGGGTGCCCTCCAAATTACAACAAGGAGGCAAACAATGAAAGGAGCATAGCAAATGGTCCTCAACATCGGGAAGATCAGCAGTTATCAGAAGAGGCTACCATAGGAGCTTCACCAAATGGAAAGAGAAGAAAACGAGTGACTGAGTCCAAGTCTCCTATTGATCCAAACAAGGTAATTTGAATTAGGTCTAATCTTATAATTTAGGAAGTTAAAAAGATTCTTCAGCATTCAAATTGTGTGTTTTCAGTTTTGTGAATTCTTAAATCTTTTGTTGTTGAATCTAGAATGCTGATGGAGAGGTACAACAGGATCCTTCTGGAGAGAGTTCTGATATTGCAAAAGAACTGGATGAGAAGAAACAAAAAACTGAACAAAACCCTGGTGCTAATTTGCGGGGCAAACAGGCAGCTAAACAAACTAAAGACAGTCCTCAAAGTGGAGAAGCTCCTAAAGAGAATTACATTCATGTGAGAGCCAGAAGGGGTCAAGCTACCAATAGTCACAGCCTTGCAGAGAGGGTACCTTCTCGCTATTATGTGTTAAAAATGGGAAAATGATCTGGCTCATTTCCATATTGAACATCGAGGTCTTTTTGCAGGTGAGAAGAGAAAAGATTAGTGAGCGGATGAGAATGCTACAAGAACTTGTCCCAGGATGCAATAAGGTACTTAAATGTCGCATCTTAATGGAAACTATTTATTTGAGGAAAAAAACACACACATGTTGCTGATTAGTTTGGTGTTGGCCATCGTTTTAGATTACTGGAAAGGCAGTAATGCTTGATGAGATTATCAACTATGTGCAATCGTTGCAACAGCAAGTTGAGGTATGCTGTTCTAAGATTGAGATTATCGACTATGAAATTGTCATATGGATTTGTGCTCATAATGTTCGCTAAGCCCCATGATAAGTTTGCTAAGTTTGAATTGGAGCTTAGCTCTAACCTCTAGAAAAACACAATAATGCACCCTTCACGAACGGGTGGAAGCAGAATCAAAGATAAGTATATCGTTTTTAGGGTCTGCAAAAGGGGTGTTACTACTGGAGTCTCTGAGGTTAATGGGATGATATTGCCCATAAAGGACAGTGATTTATAAGCCAAGTGTTAAGCCTGTGATTTCTGTAATCAAACGGATGAGAATCAAGTTTAGCAATTTTTTCTACGAGAATGACATTTGCAAGTTACACTAAATTCAGCGATGTAATCACTGAGAGTTCCACATGATGAATTCAACATGCCTGAAGCCATTTGTGCTTCCAAATGACTACAAGTCACTAATCCCTGCCTTGCTATTGCAGTTTTTGTCAATGAAACTTGCCACTGTAAATCCAGAACTGCCCGTTGATGTTGAGAGGATTCTATCTAAAGATGTAAGCAAGGTTTATGTGGTGAAAGAATTTCAACACAATTTTCCTATATGTTTCTTTGAATAAAGGCTAATAGGTTTCCTTTGCATCCAGATCCTTCATTCACGTGGTGGAAATGCAGCTATTCTAGGATTCAGTCCTGGGATAAACTCACATCCTTATTCACACGGGATTTTTCAACCTGGTATATCAGTCATTCCAAATTCCAATCCACAATTTTCTCCCGCACCTCATGTAAGTGAAGGATCTTTGCAAATGTTCTACAGATACATTGCTCAGTGCTCATCCAAAACTTATTCTTGGAATTGTTTCTATGTGTAGGCTGTATTAGATAATGAGCTCCAGAGCTTTTTCCAAATGGGATTTGATTCAAGTTCAGCTATTGACAGTTTAGGAACAAATGGTAATCAGCAGTTCTTATAATCTCAACTCAACAAACCTTTGTTTCTATTTTCCTGACCTGGAGATACTATAATGCTTTCAACAGGGCGTTTGAAACCGGAGCTCTGAATCTTGAAGAGAGATAACCAGGCATTGATTCCTCCTAACAAAGAATTCAAGTGGTTCAAGTTGACTTTAATATTGAACTCATTTTGAAACAAAACAAAAGTAGGCTCGAAAGTTCTTTTGTTGTATAGGTTTGAAGCTCCTAACTGTTCGTTCTTCAATTTTTTTGGAAGAAGATTACGTGCTAGAATCACAGATATATGTATATTTTCCGAGTAAGAATTGAAACTATTGTTGATGATGTTGATTTTTGCCTGTTTCATTGGGAATTTGAGCATGTATGAAGCTTTCTTCTGTAGGGTCTATCAAGCTAACCGAATACATGTTCCAGATCTTTGTTTTTATTGGTATCCATGCTATCTTCAACCAGACTATGATCTATTTCGCTGCAATAAATTAGACTTGTGATAAAAAGTTTTGGTATCATTCAAACATTTGATCGGTTAATTACTTAGGCACGTTAGGTACTTGGGTTTTAAGTTACGTGGGAGAGGGTGGCTTTCACTTTTTCTAAATCCGATTACTTGTGACTAGCGGTAGTAAATGGAAGGGTATGCATCGGGTCAAAATGAGTATGGGTTATGTTTTTTTTAATTCATTATTTATCTATGATCTATTTTTTTTGGAAAGATACTTATACCCATTTCAATCCACTCGATCCTTTCTTTACCTATTAACCCATTTAAATTGGTTGAATAATTTTGATCAATTCCACATTTTAATGTCCAGGGCTGTAAATGAACACTCATGTTCCAATTAGGGACTAAATTGTAATTATGTTGGGTTTTAAGGGTAGCTTTTCTCATTTTCCAAATCCGATTAGTTGTGACTGACTTGGTTTAACTGGGCAGTACCACATTAAATTGGATTTTATTTGTCAAAATAAGTAGGAATCACCTGATTGTTTATGGAATCTGAAGATTATATGTAGCAATCCACAAGTTTTTTTCTCTCACCTGCAAAGACCTGCAAAGAAGAATGAAAGAGATCTTTAAATTGAAAAATAGATTATAAATTAGTCCGTCTTGTTTTAATAAATGAATTAATTAGTCATTTTAGTTTAAAAAACTAACTATTTAATCCTTTTAACTATTGTTGACCATAACTAATTTTTTTATAAAATATCTTTTATTCTCATCAATATTTTCATACTTTCACTTATTTTTTATTCCTTTGCTATTTCTTAAAACACAAAATCAAAATAAATTGAAAATAACAAAAAGGACAAAAAAAATTAGTTTTTGAACCAGAAGGATTAATTAATTCTTTCTCAAATAGAGAGAGACTAATTTTCACAAATTCACTAAGTGGCAATAATTGAAATTAAGGTGAAACAAAAGGATTTTTAATTTCTTTTATAATGACAAAAGAGAAATTAAAAAAAAAAATCAAAGGGCAGAAACCAAGCTACAACATCACATTAGGAGAAAAGAAAAAATTAAAAAGCGCCAAGTTGGCAGATCAGACTGATGCAAAAAAGGCACACATTTGATGGACGATTGAAATCGAAGAAGATGGTTCATACAATGCACCTTAGTCACAATAAATAGGCATTATGTATGAGAAATAACAGTAAATGAATAGTATTGAAATAGTAACAATTTCGGTTCTTTTAGTTTTTTTTTCTTAATGAATGCTTGAAAATGGTTCAAAAATCACGAAAGTACCACTGTTCAAAATTGCCACAGCTGGTAATAATAATTAATATAATTTAATATTTAAGAGAAAAAAGTGATTAATAACCAAAAAAATAAGTCTTTGAATTGTATTCCCAGTAGTATCACTCACAAATAGTAATGACGCAATAAAACGTAACATGTTGGACCTTTATCTTGTCACTTCCCTAAAATTATTCTACAAAGTTTTCAATTTTATTACTTTCTTCGTTAATTTTATATTTCATTTTTTATGGCATAATAACATAACTCTTTAAGAGGATTTTAAACTAAACCCAACTTTTGAAATATCTTCTTTGAAGTTTGTGAATCTTTAAAAAAATTGTAAACTGCTGTATGGTGGAAAGTGTAAGATTAAATGAAAGCAGTGTTTAATTAACAATTTCGTGTTATTTTGAAGAATTCAATAATTAATTTATATCATCTCAAAATACTTTATATTTTTGTATTATGAATAAGAAAGCTTAATTATCATTCACTATTATGTTTGGCTCACATTGATAATTTAATTGAGATTTCCTATTGATATATATAAAAAAAAATGAGGTAGTTGGATAGATTTTTTGTATTATTATTATTATTATTCGATTTTTTAATTTTTTTCTTCTTATCGTCTATCTTTTTTTTAATATATTATAACACATTATATAATCACATCTTTCTATAGTTTTTGCATAATAACGCGTTATTTAATCAGACTATAACACATTATTTAATCACATTTTATATTAATTTAAAAGTTAATTAAATACTTATATTGATCAATTTATTTAATATGTTCGTTATCTTAGTAGTTTGGTTGGCAGAATTGAATAACCTGACTAATCATGTGTATTCTTTAATTTGGTTGACCCATAATTTTTTTTTCTTTTTTCTTAATAACAGAAAGCACAATTGAAAATGAAAAATAGTTAGAAAAAAAGAGAGAATAAAAAAGTGAGGACAATCCTATTCTAAAAATAAAAAATGCGATTAGAGGCTTTTGGTTTTATTTTTTGGAACATTTCTGGGCATTAAATCACTACATTTACAAACAATTTCAAATGAATTCTTAAAGGAAAAAAAAAATACTCATTATCTTTAGAACCTAAGAACTTAGATCTGAATTGGATCTAATAGCCTTCTCGTCTCCTTTCCTCCATCTTCTCTCATGGGTTTGTTGCCAGTTGAGAAATTCGAGCAAGAGTTGAAAACAAACAGGAAAAGCATGTCGTTTTTTTTTAAGTGTTCTATTGATGATAATCTTGAATGGTTTTGAAGTTGAAATGAGTTTATGTATTATTTTAGTATCAATTCTAAAAATTGGAACGACCAATTATCAACGTAATTTTATCAATCATCTCCATTAATGCCATCAACATACTAAACCCACATGAGTTAACTACTCATCCCTTTCCCTAACTCACTCAAAGTGCACATCTGAAAGCTCCATCGTCGTCCTTTCGAATTCTTGATTCGAAACCTCCAACTCTGTTGTCATGCTTCTCTCCCTCAATCGATGACTCAACACATCAAGCTCCACTCCATAGCTTCCTCCTGCTCTTACTTGCCATCAATGCCAGCAACGTTCTTTTTCGGGCCATCAAATCATTTATTGAGTTCTAGTAAATGAAAGCAATAAGGGAGATTTAGTTCTCATAAAGAGGAATAAAAGAAAAGACAATGACACAAACAGGCAGAGAAGAAAGAAAAGATGAATAAATGACCGAAAAAGAAAAAAAATTCAGAGAGGAGAGAAGAAAGAAGAAAGGTCAGATATGAGCATTAAATGCTTTGTGGAAAAGACAATGACAAAAACGGATATAGAAGAAAGAAAAGATGAGGATATGACATAAGGATAAAATTATAATAACACAACAGCTCCTAATGGCAAGATAGCAATTAGACAGAAAAGATAAGGGTAGGAATTAAACAACTTGCGGAAAAAAATACATGGTAGAGAGCTAGACTTTTGACAGAGAAAGGTAAAAAATTATTAAAAAAAGCGAAGAAAAGCGCCATATGGCACAATCAGGAGGAGACATAACAATAGAAAATTATTTGTTTTGTTTTAATCTTTTACAATCAGCAAATCCAACCATGATAACAGAGAAGATCATGTGTAATAATATATCAACGGCCAAGACAGAATAAAGGAAAGAGCACAGTACAAATGGCTTTTGATTCACAGTAATTATGAGTCTGTATCTACAGTAAATGAACATTCAACTTCTCACTTCTTCTTCTTCTTCTTCTTGTTCGTAATACGCAGATTAACATACGCATGCTGGAATTTAGCACTTCGATCAATAAAATCATTAAAAATAGGGATGCTTTCGACAAATCAAATGCCTATATTGGATTTATACTTTTACATAGAATATTATTTTTGGCATATGCATTGCATCTATATCACTGAAACTTGTGCAAAATATTCAAAATGTTTACAAGAAAATAAAAATTTATTTAAGCATTTAAATACAAACTAAACAATACAATACAAGGATAACATTTTTAGAGACTAATTTGTCCTTCACATTTGCAGGAAGATATAAAAAATCGAGTTTAAGCCGTTAAAATAAATAACTGCATGTGGCACGGGAGACGATGTTATGCGACAATTATTCACAAAGCATGTTTACAATCGCAGAAGTTTACTTTTTTCATGCACAGTACTTTTATTATACTATAACTGTCAAAGTATTCAACGAGTTAACTAAAGGTTTGAAAAGGAAGAATGATAAAAGATTTAGAGGCTGTCTTAATACCTCCTAGAGACAAGTTGTTTAAACTTACTGTTAAGGAGTACTCTGAATAACTGAGATGGAGAAATTGCATCACAAGGGGGGAAAATGTGTATTTGTTATGTCATTCAGGTGCCTTATATATATATATATATATATATATTATCATATTTCTGGAATAATTTAAAGATTTTATGCATCCGGGTTGGATTTGTATCCGAGCGGATTGGATTGAGTGGCTGATATTTTCTATTCATCGGATACTCCCCTTGTACCCAATCTAACCTAAAATTTTTAATTTTCCTTAAAAAAAATATTTCTTAAATTTCTTGTAGAACTTCATGAAAGTGCTTCCTAATAAACTGCTACGAGGAATTTTACAGATCTAATAATCTTGTTTTTTAAATCGCATATAAAATATCAACACAAAATGTGATTTAAAAATATAAAATTATATTATTAAATATTAGTAATGATATGTACTAATTAGTAAATTTCGAGTGATTAGTACGATTATATATATATCATTCAAGATTTTTATATATATATATATATATCTGAAAACCATGTATATATATAGTGTCGAAGATCATGTACTTAAAAAAAATACATCAATTATCTAATTTAGGTCATATAAAATTTAGTACGTATTTGATAAAAAATACTATATAATAATAATTATCATTAATAGTCGTTATTATTAATCATTGATTAACATTATTATTATATATTTATTATCATTGTCGTAATTTATCTGGGATTTTGCAAGTTTTTATGTTCTTTTGGCGCGGAAGGGACGACAGCAAGTATATAAAGTAGATTTTTTTTTAATTCCTTCTTTTCTAACCAAACTCATATTTAATTTTGTTTTCAACATCCTTAGAGTTTGTTTGGGTTCTTTCGTTTAGATTTTACTGTTTTAAATCAAATATCCAAGTCAGCTTAAAATTCAAAATAAGTATTTGGTTATTAAATTTAAAATTCATCACTTAACTATTTACAAAACATATCAAGTTCCACTTCAAAAAGCTGCGAAACATGCCTTTTTAAGATAATAGATTGCTTTTATATATATATATATATATATATATATATATATATATATATATATATATATATATATATAGACTTACAATTTTTGTAAGTTACAAATTTATGAAATGCACGTTTTATTTGATATATGTTACGATATTCTTAGTATATAAACATTATTAATAATATTTTTATGGATAATAACCAGCTATTTATCTCGTTATATACTAGTCGTGAAATAAAAAATAAGTTATTTTGTTATAAAATTTTAAAATTCAAGTACAAAAATATATTATATTAATATGACATTTCAAATTAAAAATAATAGTTATTTTTTAATTTTAACTATTACAAATATCATAATAAATTTATGTAATTTATAGTCATTTTAATTCAAATAACACAATAATAAATTTATCCACACCACGAGATCATAGTTTGTTACTAAATAATTTAGTTGTTTTACTTTACGTCACAGTGCATTTAATACAAGCAGTACAATTAGACCAAACAGGCTCATACGCCATACCGATGCAAATAGTGCATCTTTTAAATCGTTTAAAAATAAATTTATTTTTTTATTTACACGCAAACTAATCTGTTGATATTTTTAACATTGAATAAAAATAAGTAAAAAAGGCTACAATTGAAAGTTGTAAGAAAATAAGGGACTCAAATTTAAAAACGCTCGTAACATACCTTATGAAATTAATTATTTTTATTATTAAATTATGAAATTGTAACTGCGCTACGTGCCACCTCGACGATTACACGTGGGAGCAAGGTATGAGTTAAGACAGTTTAGATGTCCCCTACTCGAATGGCCATCTCGCGCTTCTCTCTCGCTCCCAATTTCAATAAACCAGAAACCCCCCAATTACACGAGAATTCAATTCAGTCTCTCTTCCCTTTTCCACACAGACAAAAGAAAATTCACATTTTTATTTAAAGAGAGAAGCGGTGCAAGAAATTAAATTAGACAGTCGAAACCCTAAAACTATGCTCCTAGGGTTTATAATTCAATCGATAGAAATCGCTGAGGAATTTATTAGTTTTTGAAAACACAGTGCAATAAAGATGGGAGGCGAGGAGATGAATCGGAGTAAGGATAATACCTGGCCGTCTCCAAACAGACCGCCACCATATCAAGAAAAATCCGAAGACATGAAGCTTTGGGGAGTTGTCATCTTCGGTCTAATTGGTGCTACTGCCACCACTTACGCTGTTAGTTTTCTTTCTTAATCCTGTATTATTTATTTATTTGGTTAATGTTTCATTTCTTGTTTTACAAAGGTAAAGTCATTAGATATGTATGGTGCATATTGGTATCATACACGTTGGAATTTGTTCGGTAATTGAGGAATAGATAAGACATAAATTGGTTCATTAGATTCTGAGAAAGTCGATTGATTTGGCATGGCAGGTCAGACATCTGCGGTGGACTGTTGACGAGGTGTATGCTCAGGTAGACTATTGCAAGTATAAATGCATGGCCTTCCTATATCGTAAACTTAAATTCAAGTTTCATTTTGGTCAAATTGAATGCACAAGAGAAACCTTTATTTATTTATTTTGTGGTTGTGAAAATTTAGTGAAAGGTTATTGCTTAGGAAACTCGGTCTTTTTTATATGCTGTCTCTAAGAAAATGTTGTTTGCCAAAAATAAGCGCTTTGTTCTGAGTGTTTAGTCTACTAAAATAATGTGAAGTTTTTACAATTGAAAAATAAGAATTTTTAACGTTATGTTTTTCTTGTTTATGCGTGCCAATGGCTGAGCTGATCATGTCTGTAAATGTACCTGATTAGCTAAACAGGTCAAAATCAACGTGGAAAGGAGGGACTGGAACTGGCAGGTCATTCCGGACATATTTTCAGGAGGAAGCGTGGAAAAATTATAATCGTCGAATGCAAGAAGCATATGAAGAAGAAATGGAGAGAGTGGTGAGCTTTTGTCTTGTGAACCTATCCTTCTAGATGTCATATTAGTTATGTTATGGATTATTAAACCCTGCAGAACATATTATATCAGTTTTTTGTTATTGGGTTTCTTTGTATATGCCTGCAGATATTGCCTTGTAAGTTTTAGATTGCTTTCCATGATATGGTAAATTAAATTTGTTGTTAATTTTAAGAATAACAGTTGGATTTAGAGAAGATAAACAGTTATCTGTCAAGCTGGTTCTGGCACATTGCTGTGACCTTTATGCTACTCTTCTTCGTTTTTTTTTTCTCCCTTCATGTAATTGCATCAGCAATGTGACTCTTCTAAGAAGCAAGGTTTTCAAGATGGATCAATTGGAGTACTACTCCTTATGCAGTTTGAAGTCGAAAATATGTTTTTGAATTTAGATCTATAATGCTATGTAGATGCATAATAGCTTGAATAAGCTGGTTCTTAGCTGGAAATCCAAGTACGAAATTCTTAGCAAATTGGGCTACTTCTGGTTAAACCAGTTAGTGTGCCCGCCGCCCCCACCCCCTCTCCTGGTGGGCTGTCTTACAGCACAGTTAAGGTAAAATGTTCTTTGTCTCTATCTGAGTTAAGTCGAGACAGAGCAATGCAGGACAGCTTAGGGCTTGTTCTGGATATGATTTTTGAAGGCTGTTTAGGGGTGTTTATGGTTGTATTGAAGTCGATTTCTGCTAAAATATGAGGAAATATGTGGGTAGGTTTCTAGGAGTCACACTTAGACGATAGAAAAACCTAAGCTTCACACCTAGGATTCTTAAGAGTCACACCTATGGGAGATTGAGTCACACAATCAAAAGCAAGTTGGTGGAAATTATTTGATATTATTGCATACTGAATATTGAAAGACTACATGCTGAATTTATAGTGTTGTAGAAGTCCAAATCCAATTAGGACAAGGATTCCTAGACCTCCAACATAACTATTCCTAATTAGAATAGAAAAACCTATAACGATCCTATTTTAGAATAGGAAAACTTAATTACTTTAGGACTAATAAAATACTTAAAACAAAAATACTGTAATTTTAGATTTGCCAGCTGATCTGAAATTACTAAAATACCCTTATCATTTATTCCCTAGTTGGAGAAAACTTGACCTCGAGTTTTGAAATTTTGAGGTGGCAAAAAACCATACGTTACACACCTCATCCCATAGCTTGAAGCCTTTCCATTGAACTTGATACCAATTACCGTTTGCCATATGTGAAAACAGTGAAGAAAGCATGATGTCTTTCTCTATAACTGAACCACCAAACTTGGGTGGAAGAAGGAAGCCAATATGATTGATTTGTACAATTTGCTCATCTCTTTCTTGAGTATCCTTGATGTTGTGCTCTTCCTTTGTCTTGCTGAAAATCAAGATATCATCAAAGTAAACGACGAGAAAATGACCAATAAAGGGCTGGAGTATCTGGTTCATAAACCTCATAAAGGTGCCAGGAACGTTGGAAAGCCCAAATGGCATGACCATCCATTAGTAAAGGCCATCCTTGGGTTTAAATGTTGTCTTCCATTCATCACCAGGTCGCATTTGTAACTGATGATGCCCACTTTTCAAGTCAATCTTCGAAAAGTTGGTAGAACCAACCATAACATCCAACATGTAGTCTAGATGTGGAAAGGGAAAGTGATATTTAACAGCAATCTTGTTTATTGCTTGACTATCAACACACATGTGCCAAGTACCAACTTTCTTAGGAGTTAGTAATGTTGGAACAGCACAGGGACTTAAGACTTTCGTGAATAAATCTTTTGGACAGGAGCTCATCAACTTGCCTCTTGAGTTCAGCATGCTAACTAGGATTCATTCAATATGCTGGATGGTTAGGTAGTTGCTAGCCTGTAACAAGATCATTCAATTGCATGTTGAATACTGCATAGGGGAGGCAATTCCTTAAGTAGGTCTTCTGGTACAACATTGGAGAAGTCTGATAGTAATCTAGTCACTTCTGGAGTCAAATTAGAAACAGGGGCAACAACTGATTTTTCTCTCTTGCAATAACAACAAAAATCACCTTAGACTTGGAGATTGTTGCTTGGAATTGTTTTTTAACCAATACCTGAAGATGCTTCCTTGTAGTGCCATCAATACTTTTTGAATTTAGAGACTTCTCTTCATGCTTCTTGATATCAAGTGAATTCATTGGCCTTAGGACAATAACCTTCTTTTCAAAGAAAATGGAATATGTATTCTCATTGCCATCATGTTTCACATGTCGATTGAAAAGCCAAGGTCGATCAAGAAAAATGTGAGCAACTTGCATTGTAATGATAGCACACAATATAGAATCATTATAGGATCCACAAGTAAAAGAAACAAGACATTGTTGTGTTGTTAATCCAAGTTGTTTTGTATGGTTGTGGATGAGGATTGGTAGGAAGCTTGTGGCGGTCAACTGTGGATGCCGCAACAACATTCATGCAACTTCCACCATCAATTATAAGCTTTTTAGCTTGATTTCCACATCGAACCCGGGTCTGAAATATCGTGAAGTGTCTCCAATCTTCATCTTTTTCTACCTTAGGGGCTGTAAGAATGTGCCTAAAAATAGATAAAAGAGAAGTATTCACGTCATCATCATTAGCAAGATCAGCTTCATAAGTTCCAAAAACGTGAATTGTCAGATTCATCTTGTGTCTCTTCCTCTCCTTGCTCAATCTTAATATGCAAACTATTTTTCTTAGGACATTGATAACCCATGTGTCCATGCTCCCCATAAAATAGACATGCCCTTTGTTATCTCCTTCTTTAGTGTAGGCTACATTAGAAGAATATGGTTTTGAGGCATAGGAACGATTATAAGGTTGTGGAGAGGGTATCCTTACTTCTTTATTAATGTCATTGTACCTTTTTGTTGATGTCTCCTTGGCTTAAAACCCAACTTTTCTTGTGATTGGGTGCTTTAGTTATTCCTCTGCATTGGTTGCTATTTGACATGCATGCTCTACACTGTAGAAGTCCTTCCCAAGCAATTCCCTCCTGACATCAGCCCTCAAGCCAACCTTGAATCGGGCAAGGGTTGTTTAGGATCTTCCACAATTTGACTTCTAATCTTTAGCTCTTCAAATTTTTTCATATATTCATTAATAGTTGGGCTGCCTTGTCGTAAAATATAAGCTGCCTCACGAATCTTTTGACAATAATTAGTTGGCATGTACTTTTCCATTAGCTTGGCTTTCATCTCAAACTAATTAGTGATTGGTGCATGTCCAAGTCAACCTATCTCCTGTTCAACACAATACCACCAAATCTTGGCTAAACTAGTAAGTTTCATCTTTGCAAACCTTACTAATTGAAGAATATCTCCATGGACCTAATCTAATCATTGAGTAGTGTAGGATCTACCTTTTCTTCGAAATCAAGAATGTCACTCTTACCTTCTTTGTAATATCACCATTAGTGTCTTGTGGGTCGATTTGCTCCCTTCTTTGGATGGGCAACACGGCTGGTTGCCTACTCTGGGCAGCCACAATACCCTTAGTTTGTGGAAAAGAGTTATCCGTTGTTGTGTCAGCAAGTTGCTTACTTAGAACAATTTTCGAAAGCTTTTCAATTGACCTCTCTATTGTTGCAAATCTGAAATCAAATTTGGCCTCTACAACTTTGGAATCAAATTTTCCTTCAATATTATCCAACATTTCGTCCATAAATCTCTTGCTTGATTCAACTTTTAGTTGAAAGGCTTCAAATTTTGTATTGACGTCATTGACAATCACCATGATTGAAGAATGCAGCAAGAAAAACTTATAGGATCTTGAAGCTCTGATACCAACTGATGCAGGACAGCTTAGGGTTGTTCTGGATCTGATTTTTGGAGGCTGTTTAGGGGTGTTTATATGGTTGTATTGAAGCCGGTTTCTGCTAAAATATGAGGAAATATGTGGGTAGGTTTCTAGGCGTCACACCTAGAGGATAGAAAAACCTAAGCTTCACACCTAAGGTTCTTAGGAGTCACACGTAAGGGAGATTGAGTTACACAATCACAAGCAAATTGCTGAAAAGTTTTTGATATTATTGCATACTGAATATTGAAAGACTACATGCTGAATTTATAGAGTTGTAGAAGTCCAAATCCAATTAGGATAAGGATTCCTAAACCTCCAACATAGCTATTCCTAATTAGAATAGAAAAACCTATAACTATCATATTTTAGAATAGGAAAACTTAATAACTTTAGGACTAATAAAATGCTTAAACAAAAATACTATAATTTCAAATTTTCCAGCAGATATGAAATTATTAAAATACCCATATCAATATTCAAATTTTGCTTCCTTTGTTGTCCGCATCACAGAGTGGTGTTTTTTACTGCTTTTCCCTATCCAATTGACCTATATTTCCTGCAAAAACCTATTTTGTGCCTCAAGATTGGGCTCGGGTGGTAGAAGCTGAATGGTGTTCCTTCTTTGTATGTCCTAGCATAGTTCTCTTTACCATTTCGTCTCTCTACTAGACCTACAAAATTATATCGTCATCTCATCCTCTTTCTGTAGGATCCATTTCAATTTTGTTTATAAAACCTCGTAGGTTGCATTTCTTTATATGCACCATATCACAGTGATAAGCTTAGTTTTGTCTTTCTGAAGTTGTCAAATATCAATTATCTTGCTCTGATCTTGATGTGTCCAGCGGGCTTTTTTCTTTGATTGTATTTGCATGCAATTAAGATGTACCGATGTTGTATTTTTGTTTGCAGGAGCGTATAAGGCGTATGCAAAGCGTGTTTAACCGTGAAAGAAACAAGTTCAAAAGAGACTACGAGAGCTGGAGGGAAAATGGGGCAGGTGCATATAATCAACATTTTCAGCGTGATGATTGGTATTGGAAGACTGATACATCTTTTAGGGACCAGAGGGCTAACTTTAGGAGACATCCAAGAGACAGTGGAAGCTATCCATTATCACATCATTACTCAGTTTTGGGACTTGACAGGTTATTATCAAAATCCAATTGTGTTTGCAATATGGCTAGTTCAGTCAACTTGTGTAGCTGTCTTGATTTATGGAGATTGAAATATAACTTTAAGATGAATAAGAGGCTTTTGGAATATGATACAATATAATTAGCTTTTTATTCATTTATTTTTAATCATGAGAGTTTCTCACTTATCTGGACTTTATCATTAGCAGTCGGGATTGACAGATTTTACCGGACTTTTTGTGGCAGGTCCAGAACAACACCATATACTGAAGCTGAGATTAAGGTATTACTCATGATAAATATCAGCTCTTTGAAATTAATGTTACTCAGGGACCAAATTTGATGATAGATAGCCCATGGCTCCCCATCACACACACTCCCTCACCCAACATAGAAAAATGCTATTGTGCCATTCACATTTTATCTGCATTCTCTTTTGTTGTACCATCCGTGTCTTCATGTGTTCAAATCTGTAATTTGACTTGAGCTCCTGATAAACTTCTTTCTTACTTGGAAACCTGGAAAATGTCAGGTGCTGATTATAGTTTATCGTATCTTAATACTCAATTCCACCTGTTTTTTTTTTCCGTCTGTTCTATATTGTAGTGTTTCAATTCTTGAGCTTCATTTTATAACTGGGATTATTGTTTTCTTTTGGGATTCCTGCGATTCTAAATGATTTTTTTTTTATGCATGCAGACAGCATTCAGGACCAAGGCAAAGGAGTTTCACCCAGATCAGAACCAAGATAATAAAGGTTGGATTTTGTTTTCTATTACTAACTATGATCTTGTATGCGATGCTGCAGCTTTGAAGTGGAACTTAAGAGTTGTTTCTCATGATTTGTTGCAGAGGCTGAGGCAAAGTTCAAAGAGGTGATGATATCCTACGAGGCCATTAAGCAAGAAAGAAAGAATGCTAAATATTAAACCGCCTCACACTGGTAGAGGGATAGCAAAGACTGAATACAAAATGTTCCTACGTATGAATGCTTTTCTTGACGATGTATTTCCTCAGGAAAATGAATCCTACAGCAACTTAATTTTGGTGAGTATTTGATACTATATTGATAGGAGGTTGTGGAGAGAGGCAAGTACATATTTTTTTCAGGAGCTAGATTTTAATAAGGACAGGCAATTGATGTGCCTTATATACCTAATTCCTGGAATTATGTAACATATCAATTGATTTTTACTACAAACATTTTTACATATCAATCAAGTTATTCTCATAATTTTGAAAATGCTTCAAATTCTTATGTTAGAAGAATTTTTACATAGACCTGCGGACATCTCTTTTCATTTGATCTAAATGCATATAATGTTTTCAGGACAATTTGTCGTTTGGTGGCTTATTTTTCTTTGATAAATTGCTTGCTTGGTGGTTTATAAGGCGGGCAGATCTTTTTATTCCAGTCCTTTAATTGATTATTGCGTCTCTGTATAATGAACTAAACATTTTTGTCACTTAATCTAAGCCATGTTCATATGTTATTTGCTAGCTTGACGGTGGCAGTTTATTACCTTGGCCTCTGGGAGGATCACCTGGTGAAATAAAATCAAAAGCTTTAGAAAGAGAGAGACAATCCGAAGTTCCTAACCTTTTAATTTTTGCGTGCGGAGACACGGGGTTGTGGATGGTTTTGAGATGACTGCTTAGACCTTCAAAAGAGCTCGTTGTTTCAAGTCTCGCTGTCTTTTGCTTTTATTTAGCTATTGACCGGGTCAAAGCCGTCAACTGGGCCGAATACTTTTGCTTTTATTTTCTTCTTATTTTCCTTATCTTTGGTTTTTCCTTTGTATTTGCACTGTAGTCTGATCTGCAGTGCAAGTGACGGAGATCTCCCGAATAAAGACACAGCAACATTATTGCCTCGCCTTTTAGTTAAAAGGTTGTAACTAAGAGGACGATTCAGATGGAGGAAATGAAATGAAAAATCCGTAGGTTATCAGATCTCGGCCTGGATGGCCAACCAATGGCATTCAAATCAAAATGTATGGATTAATGAAATTATTGCTCATGACGGACCATGGAGTTAATCAGGAATCAGGTATCTGGTAATTTTTAAAATTTAACTGCAAACGAAAGTTAACTTCAAAGACAAGATCTTTGAAAGCGGCCCAGCACCGATTCTTTTTTAAATAATCCCTGGGCCATGTTTCTATTCCCTTTCTAATTAACAGAGAACTATCCTGGCTAGACTCGCTCCACTTTCAACGTTGCTACCATGTAGTTTATTTTGTGTCATTTTCTTCATTTTTAGGGAAATGATCTGTGATGTGCGAGTACATGTTCTTGGACTGATGGATAAAACTAATAACAAGCAGATAGTAATTTCCTACTTCAATATAAATACGAAATATTCTACTTCCCTAATGTAGCATTCATTTCCTAATTCAAATGCCGTTTGATCTTCCTCCTTTTAATATGATGATTGCATTCATGAGTTGGAGAGAGAAAAAAAAGGCAAAAGTTATTTCCAGTTCAAAGACGAGTATTAATGCAGAGTTGATAGTGCCTATGAGAGTCGTATTGAGAATAGACAGAAACATTTTGGAAATGATTGTCCACGATATTAGAGTTGAGCCTTTCCCTTTTGTTATAAAACTGCATAGAAGTAGTAATGATGTTTAAGCCATAAGCCATCTCTGGCTGCAACTAGCAAGTGGACCCTCCAATCTCCATGACATGGAGAAACAAGGAAAAACCAATCAGCAAAATAAATAAAAAAGGGATATTGCGTGGCTTGTGGAAAATTAATAAATCCATTTTATATTATATATTGGTCAGAGTTGAAGTTCTATAAACATCCAAGAAACAAAAATCTATTATATTGCACAGTTATTCGTTGAAGCATTCACCCTCACCCAGTCGACTTTGAACAAAGGGAAGGAGGGGGAACAGAAGTGGCTTGCCTTGACCGGCATCAACAAATTTTGCTATCTCTTCACATTTTGTCAAATAAATATCACTTGACTGGAGGAGCTCTATAATATGCAGGAATAGTTGCAGGGAAAAACATTTGTCTAACTCCTTCTGCCCTAATGATGGGGAAGATGATCCCTGATGCACCCTGCAAAAGAGTAGCTTGATCTTTCAGTGTTCAGAAACAACAAAATTGCATGAAATTGGGATAAAAATCATGGTAAGTAGATTGAAATGGCAATAAGAAAGATCATAGAGAGGGGTAAGCACGCACCAAAATCAATCTAGCTCCAATCCAGATGCGTTTAGGTGAAGGGAATGGCAATATCAAACGGCCAACACCATATACAGCAACTGCAAAGAAGTGGACAACCAAGCTCAATGGACGAGGATTTAAACCTGAGAGCAAAGACACTGGTCCTTCTGAAAATACACCTCCAAGACTTAAATAATCAAAGCACGCATCACGCATTTCCTTCCTTGCTTGATCAGGTGAAGCACAAAAGACCTTGTAGAGAGCACCAGCCAATGTATTGATTGTGGATGCTACAGGCTGTAAGAACATGGCATAATCTGAGTTTAACTGCAGTACTATGAAGGCAAGAATCATGAAGAAAACTCTACTAAAAGTTGGCTCAAATCCTAGTATCATTCAGAAGCAGAGAACATTTTTCTTTCAAAAAGGTTTTCCAACATCTATGCACCCAGCAAGTGAACAGCAAAAACAGACAAGCATAACACCAGACGTACAACTTACCTTACGCAAGGTGTAGAAAGATTCAAGGTATTTGCAGAGTATAGGTGCATCATGAAGGTCGTGCAAAGGCCTGAGAAGGTTCCGTAGCACAACAATGTCAGACAGTGCAACTGTCATTCCTCCCCCGGTAAGAGGATGACGCATGTTGAATGCATCGCCCATCAACAATGCACCAGGAGTGGGATAAGGAGCAGCTGGCATGCTTCTGTTTGGCATTGTCCTAATGTTTCCTTTATCAACTGCAGCTAGAAAGGCATTGTAGACTTCTGGGGGAAGCTGCAAAACAGATATGTCAGGATATCAGCTGAAGACATTACCAAACATAAATAGAGATGAACAAAGGCCAAACAAGCAGCTGAAAATGTATGGAAGATTACTACATACCTGAGGTGCCACCACAGTCTTCAAATATTTTTCCATTTCTCCACTTGAAATGGAAGGAACCTTCTGACCAGGTACATCAACCAGACAGCGAACCTCCGTTCCACTAATAGGATACATCAAAATTGGAGATGGATCCCCTAAGATAACATGCCCGTGATTTGCATATGGAAGTTGGCAATTCTCCAGGACCATGCCAACAAAACAAGAGGGCACATCCACCTGCACAAGATAATTAGACATGCATATTAATTTTCGAGGATGTACTTCATTTTGTAACACATGAGAGTAGGGCGACAAAATTTCTATTGGATTAGTTTCTTCTTAGGCTTGATACTAGAATTGGTACTATCCAACAATATCAACAGTTCTCACCTTAGGGTTGCAAAGGGAGCGACGCAGGTTTGAGAAACAGCCATCACAAACAATTGTCAGAGGTGCGAATGACGTCAGCTCTTGCCCATCTTTTGTTTTGTACTGCACACCTCTTATTGTCCCTTTCTCTTCAACTAGAGATGTGACAGTTCCTTGCTCCAATTGTACGCTAGTAAATTGAAAACAAAAATATAACTACCAGCGAACATAAAGACATGCTTCTAGATATTGTGATGGTCTGCTAAACTGGCATAAAATATATGATCAAGGGCAGTGTCCAAGAATTACAACATGCACACAATAGACAATCAGATGACCTTGGACACGCACTGCATACCTGAGGATGTCAACCATATCAATAATGTCCAGGTACAATGAAAAGAATAACGTGCAAACACTTAAACCATTTTTTGAATCGTTTTAAGAACCATTTAAATTTCCAAAGGGCATTGGCACACGCGTAGATTTACAATGGAATAAAAGACATACTTGGGGAGGGATGCAGCTTTTTCCCGCATCCTCTGTATGAAACGCCCATTGTGAAAGCTCCTTCCGGCTACATCTGAGTGGAACTTTTCCAAAGGATAAGAGAGTTGAGCATGTTTTCCATCCTTGAAAAGAGCATAACCGTTTACCCTCTGAGCATCAATTTTCGTTACACAATCTGCAGCGAGAAACAAGGTAGGGTTCTATTAGCAACTAAGTTCTCCCATTATTGAGTGTCTGCAAATGATATCGATTAATCAAAAATTTTGCAGGTAGTTGTGAAACTCGTTGTCACACACCTTCAAGTCCCAATTCAACTAACTTTAGGTAACCCCCTGGCTGTAGCAATTCACCGACAATCCTATCAGGCTCGGTCAAGTCTCTTTCAATGACGCGCACTCGACGTCCATCCTGCATTTTAAGATATACAGAGAATTTGATAATGAAGTAACTTACAGTTAGGATGTGTGTGTGTTCTTTGTAAAAGAACTATCTCATGTCAATTCAATAAGAAAAGTTCAAGTTAAATCATGAATTCATGGTGAAAACTAATCCGGCTAACAAAAGCAAACTTGTACAACTACAGATTTTCCAAGATGAAACCAAAATATAGTCGGTCCTCAGTTTTAATAACTACATAACACAATTTCTTTAAATATTGGAGAATATTACTAGTAGCCATCTATTAGAATCAAGAACACGAATTAAATCCTTACAAATAAATTCGTGATTTGACTAAAATATAGAAAGATAAATTTTCATTTCTAGACCGACGATTTAGGGTAGTAATAACATGAATTTCATTTCTGCAGTCAATTTCTCCTTCCGTTTGCTGACAATAATAATTAGAAGGAAACAAAATTATAGCAGCCACAACTGATACAAGTTAACTAATTAATTGAAAGATGATAGATCCTCCGAGTTTCAGAACATGTGCATACACACCGCTTGGCCT